AACCGAAACAACCAGGGGGAGGGGCCCGGGGCCGGGCGGGGGGAAAAGGAAAGGGGGGGGGTAGTTCAGTTGGGGGAGCTAGGGGAGAAAGGTCTTCGGGGGGGGGGGGGGGGGGGGGGGTACCGTAGCTTGCAAGAGAACCGGCTACAACAAAAAGAGATAGAGGATACATCACGCGCGAGGTCGGAGAATCGATCTTCGACCCAGACCCGATCAAACGAGAAAGCGGGCACACGCCTCCTACGGTGTAGTGTAGGACACCCTCTACGGCAGTGCCACTTCCACCGAGGCACTCCGAATCGGATTGAGCCACGATGGAAGGGGCCATGGGGGTACGTCATGACTAGACCGGAGATCATATTACTAGACCGGAGATCATTACTCCCCGTGGGCCTGGTGCGCGGGCCCGGGAGGCAGTGTATGCCACGATAAACAGAGATGGAATACACTTGGAAAAGAAAACCCACTGGAACCTCGACCTACCCACTGCATACGCAAAACCGGCAACAAGACAAAACCGAACACGAACACGAACACGAACAAAAGAAAAATCACGCCCAAGCCACCAAACATCCACACATCATTCTTCAGGCCCGTGATTCCGCACGTGTTCCGCAGGGAGCCATCTCAGGCCCGTAATTCTTCACGTCTTCAGGTGGGGGACCCCACACCCAATATATCGACGACGACAGGGGGGGGGGTATAGGCACTTACTCGGCCCCGGGGAAGGGGGCGACGCCGCTGGGAAAGTTGTGGGTCTCTGCCGTGAGGATGGGGTGCAGGGTGCGCTCCCCGCTCTTGATGGCGGACGGCTTTCCCGGGGTCGACGGGAGGGCCACGGGGCAGAGCGGGCCCCTGATGGCCGACGAGTTGTCGTGGAAGGCGATGATGCTGTTGTTTGCCGCTCCCTTCGAAGAGAGAGAGGTAAAAAAGGGCCGGGGAGGGAAGGGTCCGTGAGGAGGAAGCACCCTAACCGGAACGAATTCATGTTACAGAACCGGATACAACCGGGAAGGAAACCAAACGGAATAGAACCGTAACAAGCGGGTGGACACAGCCGGGGAAAGGTATCAGAGACGGAAGACGGAGGCCCAAGGGAAATGCGACGAAGCAAGAAACGAATGTCACAAACATGCCGAATACTTGTGATTTTCGAAATATTCCCCGAGGGGTGCCACGAGCGCGAGGGGATGGGGGGTCCACCGATCACGTCGGCAAAGCATTCGTTCCCTTGGGGTCAAGAGAGCATCACCAGTGGCAAGCTTGGCGTGGGGCAAAGCAACAAAAGGAGGAAATAACACTGCGACCAATTGCAACGGTAACACCCGTAGAGTAGAGTAGTAGCCCCATGTCCTCAAAGAGGAAACAAGACCGCGACCGATTGCAACACAACACCCGTAGAATATAATAGCAGCCCAATATCCTCAAGACAACGTCCCCACACCTTGGGAAGCGTCTCCTTGACGAGCTTGAAGAGGGTCTTGGCCTGCTCCTCCCCGTCGATGACCATCTTGCCGGAGAAGAACCAGTGCCGGGAGTGCTCAGAGTTCGCCTGTGGGGTCAAGAAGGTCCACAGACAGCACCGTTCAACGATTCAAGCGCTAAACAAACAGCTTACAGAAACCCTAGAAAGGAAAACACACATGCCCGGATTACGTCTCTGTATGAGTTGTGAAGCTATCTGTACTAATACTACTGTGACAAGAGCCGAGTTTTAACGCGTGGTCTTCCTCTGTAGAGAGAGGTACTTTGTAGTTTGCGGGGGTGAGAGGGGTGTGATTTAGCGCCCGAAATCAAGCCACTAGACCAATCGGCGCTGACCTGTCTAATCGTTTCAATTCGGGTACCAAAGGGCGACCGCCTTTTGCACCCGAAATCAAGCCTCTATTAATAAACCAATCAGCTGCTGACTGGTCCAACGGTTTTAATTTCGGTTGCTAAATCAAGGGCGTACTTTATTTTGCTGCTTGCCTTTTAGAGTCGATAAAACCACGTTGGTGTGGTAATGTCTTGTGTTTTTCCGATGGTCAGACGCCGGCAAGCACGTAGTGTCACCGCACGACCGAAATCCTCCACAAGCGGGAGATGGGTAGCTTCGGGAAACAAAAAAAGATCACAACAACAGACCAGACACTCCGTACCATCTGGTCGGAAACAGAGGGACCATTGGGATATTCACATCTACAAACAAACGGTCCTCATATTCTCAAACAGAGCGGCAAAGCCGGCAAGGTCTTGAAGCGGTGGCGCTGCAACCTGTGTTTGTGATTGGCTGACCCTCTTCCTCGGCTACACAGCAGTAGTGCCCCCACCTGTCCCATGTCGAACAGCTCCACGTCCGTGGGGTCCCTCCCGAGCTTCTCCTTGAAAAGCTTCTCGTAGAACTCCAGGTCCCAGTCGTCGAACCCAAGGCCGCGAGTCTCGTTGATCTGCATGAAAATACGTTGATTGGTCCATTCGACGAGTATGAACGATGCTGATTCGTCCATTCAAGTGCAAGAATGAACGATGTTGATTGGTTCGTTCGAGTTCAAGAATAAACAATGTTGATTGGATCATGAACGGTGTTGATTGGTCCATTCGGGTTCGTCCAGCCGATCGCCGCGTATCAAAAGCCCAGCCAAACGTATCCTCCACAAACGGGTGTCGGTTCAGAACCTCAACGCGTACAGCAGTGCCCCATGAATTCTGGTTTGTTTACTCGTCGGTTGGATCGCAAACGCCTTACCTGGTCGTTTGTGAAGTCTCTAAGAGACTTCCTTCTGCCGACGACACGCCCACCAAAAAAAAATTGACTATTGTAGTTACAAACTGTGTCTTGCTAGATATTATACGTCGAAGACGCACACAAAGTAAACACAGCAGTGGTGAAGTCTCACAAAGTAAACACAGCAGTGGTGAAGCCTCACAAAGTTAACACAGTGGTGAAGTCTCACAATGTGATCTTGCTGCAAATCACAAAACAAATCACAAAACATATATAGCTCACCGCCACCAGAGCCTCGCGGCCCTCGGCGAGGATGGGGACCACAACCACCGGCTCCGCCTCCTCGCCGCTGTGGAACGTCTGCAAAGGCCTGACAAGAGGGGGGGGGGGGGTACTCATGGTCGTGCATGCCGTAGTCGTTAGACCATTGACCTCGCATCCCTACAAAGCCGGGACGGAGCACGCCGGCTTCTCACCGGACCAGGCTCTCACATCACCAAGCGCGAAGCGCCGTGAGGTATTCGGCGAGTCGCATGAAGGGTGAGCTGCATCCTGCTAAGGGTGTTCGGCATCTTGTGCTTACTTCCTTGCGTACGGATGACAGCTGCGTATGACTTAATTTATTTCCTGGTGCTTTCACTTCCAGAGACAGTTGTAAGCACCGTGTAACTGCCTCGAGGATGCTTGACCATTTTAACACAACGTGGTGCGATCATCCCCCTTGCGCGGAGCGAGGGTTCTCCACCCCGCACAACATGATCTACTCGACCACCATTCATGGTTACAGCAATATAAAAAAGGCAAAAAAAACGGTAACCTGGTGGCCGAGTTCACGAAGTGAATTGGCTCGTTTTACAACGTCGTTGCCAAGCGACGAAAACTCAATCCCGATGGCAAACACCGAGGGGGGGGCTTGTTTTACAACGTCGTTGCCAAGCGACGAAAACCCATCCCCTGACCAGAGGGAGAATAAAAAAAAAAACGGAATGAACTGGCTCGGCTTTGGCTTTTCGCGCCAAAATGGGGCATCCTCGGTTCGATACGGTATTGTACTGCAGGCTGGACGCATCCAGAAAAAATGGGAAAGCAACAAAAAGCTCCGGCAAAATCGGAACCGGCTTGGCTCGGCTTTGGCTCTGAGGCCATGGGGCATCCGGAACAAATGTGTTTCTTTGAGGGTCAAGGTGATACCTTCTCTTCGTTTCATTAATTCGTCCCATCGGTTCTGGTCGCAAGTCAGCCCACACCTTTCGGAATGTGGCTTGAGGACGAATAACTCAGCCTACAGCGTCAACATCATCATCACCACCACCAACCACAACAACAACAGTAGGGTAGGGTGAGGTGGGCTTGGGGCTCTGAGGAATGCGTGCGGTAATCATGAACTCACAACAGCAGCAACAACAACAACAACAACAACAACAACAACAGTTTCCTGAAGCTAGATCTCACTCGGGGTACTCCATCTCCGTCATCCTGTCGTGCACCAGGGCCACGAATGACGCCCTCTCCGCCTCGCCCAGGGGGCGGGCGGAAGACACCAAGAACCGCCTCGAAACCTGAAAAAACAAACAAACAAACAAAAAAGGTGTCAAGTTTTCGATCACCACCGCCAACGGCAGCAACCACGAGCCGTTTCGTGTCGTCTGCAAACCAACCCAAGTTTCCCCACGAGACAAGGGCCGGGCGGGACAAGGACGAGATGGGAAAAACCGCAAAACACACACACAATCTGGAATAACCTCAACAGGACCACCGGCACAACAGCAACACCCTCCTGAAAACCACGAACCCCTTCCGCTCCCCGGAAACAAATACGTGCTTGTATATACACAACAGCAGCAAGCAGTCCAGAGCCGCTCTCTCTCATCCTATTTTCTACTCCCGCCCGCGCCCCCGAAATAAATGCCTGGTTGTGCACAGCAGCAAGCAACCCAGAGCCCCCCCCTCTCTCTCTCTCTTCACCTCCCCCTCCTCCCGTCCCCCGGTGTTTGCCATCGGGGTCGGGTTTTCGTCGCATGGCAACGACGTTGTAAAACAAGCCGATCACTTCGTGAGCTCGGCAACCAGATTACCGCTTTTTTTCTGCCCTTGTTCTTTTTTTTTCGATAACCATAGGGGTGGTCGAGAAAATCATGTTGTGCTTGGTCGTGCACCCTCACTTCGTGCTAACGGGATGATCGCACCACCATGTGCTAAATTGGTCAAGCACCTTCGAGGCAGTTACACAATGTTAATAACTGTCTCTGGAAGCGAAAGCGCCAGGAATTAAGTGAAGTCATTCGCAGCTGTCATCCGTGTGCAAGGCAGTAAGCACAAGATGCCGAACACCCTTACAAGTAGCAGGACGCGGCGCACCCGCCATGCGACTTGCCGAATACCTCGCGGCGCTTCGCGCTTGGTGATGTGAGAGCCTGGTCCGGTGAGAACCCGGCGTGCTCCGTCCCGGCTTTGTAGGGATGCGAGGTCAACGGTCTAACGACTACGGCATGTACGACTATGAGTACACCCCCGCCTCCCCCCATGAAACAAATACGTGGTTGTACATAGCATGTTTGTGTATATAGTCGGCAGGATACGAATCTGTGAGATCTCCGGGGGGGGGGGGGGCGTACCCCTTTTTTTCTTGCCCTAATCCTTTTACCCTTTACCCCCCCTCCCTTTTCAAACGGAACCCCCTTCCCACCCCCACT